TTTTTTTCAACTGCTTACACACAAAATCTTTACTTGTCACACAATTTCTGAAACCTGACACTCAAACACCAGAACCACACACCAAATCTGCAAAACCATACACTAATTCTCAGACTTTGACTCAGTTTTCAATTTCATAAAACACTTTTTGCAAAACACAACACACAATTCTCTATGTAACTCACAAAAATCTATTAGGAAGTATCTTGATTTCCTTTTTCAAACACAACCAATCAAAATGCCACACTAATTCAACAGTGACACTAACTCCTCACATGTGCAAACACTCATTGCTTTACTTACCACCAAGCAATCATGGCTTTAGAATAGGCCTATAACTACACAACTACACATGGTGGATGTATTTCTTTTCTTTTGTCCTGTGTAATACTGTATTCACAACCACAAATGCTTACAGTAAAAAAAAAGTTTGGTTTCAACAATCTTGCTTTTGTGTTTACCATGAATTTTTCAACATCTCTGCCAATTACTTTCAATCTTGAACAGAAATGTACATAGGAGCTCATGAAAGAAGAGCTTTAGGTTTTAAGTAACTGTGTATATGAAATATCCAAAAATATAATATTATGGCAAATAGTGCTGGGCGGTATACCGGTTCATACCGAATACCGGTGTTTATTTTTGTTATGATATGAATTTTTAAAATACCGCAATAAAAAAAAAGTATGTCGCTTAAACAACGTTCGGAACGCGACGCTGTTTGAAAGGGGTCCCTTTACACTGTTGCACTGTGGTGAGGGAACAGCTGTATGTGTTACTAAAAACTGAAGTTATCCAACTTGTTATCCAAAACTGAAGCTGTAGAACTAATAGAACGTGATGACACAGAAGAACTCATCCACAAATATCCACCGCCCCCTGCCATCAGCTCCCGCGTCTCACACACACGAGCGCGACTTTAGCACTAGATTTAGCAACTTTCAGAAACTGTCTATTGTAATATACCTGCACATACAACTGTCAATTTATATATTTTTATTCCTTATTTACTTGTTCTGTTTTTTATTATCTGTGTTTTTTGTTCTGTCACTGTCGTTCTGTTACACTGTGGAAGCTTCTGTCACGAAAACAAATTCCTCGTATGTGTAAACATACCTGGCAATAAAGCTCATTCTGATTCTGATTCTGAAGCGGTTGAAAAAAAACTGTAATTACAAAATAAATGTAACTGTAATCTGTTACAGCTACTGAGAAAAAATGTGTAATTAAATTACAGTTACTTATGAAAATGTTAAAGATTACAAAGGGGGGTTACATATGAATATTTACACACACACACACACACACACACACACACACACACATTTAACCAATGTTTCAGGAGTTTAGTTTTTTTTTGGTTTTTTTAAGATTAACTGTTTTTTCCAAAGTTACTACTGTAATGTTAGAAAACATTCGTTAGAAATTTAGAAAAGTAATAAAATGCAATCAGTTACATTACTTTAATAAAGTAATTGAAATAGTTACACTACGTATTACATTTTAAATAGAGTAACTTAGTCCCAACACTGGTCACTAGGTAAAAGCCTTGCTCTAAACATCTTTCTTTTTACTTTAATAACTCCTCTTTATTCGTTTAAATAAATCAGACTTCACTGTTTTAGTTGGTGTTTCTCTGAGGTGAAGTTGGATTGTTTGATATTCGATGAACACTAACAAAACGTTTTAGACAGTAGGTGTTTGGGTTTCCGTCGTCTGGTCTTCTCTGTGTAAGTCAGTAGTTTTTCAAGCTTTGGACGTCCTGTACACTTGATTACATGCAGAGAGCTGATTATTTCTCCTCAAACTCTTCCAATAGAGTAACTTGTAATCTGTAACGTAACCTGTAACTTTTCCAAAGTAACGTTAACCGTCCAAAAACTACAAACCGCCAAATACATTTAAATACGCCTCAGGTTCATTCAATCGATATCACCATTTAACTGCTGTTTTAAAATATTCACTACATTACCCATATGAATTATGTTGTAAACTAGATTTAATTCGGCTAGAAGTACATTTGTGATTTTATCTGTGAAACTCGGTTTTCGTGTTTTGTTTGATGCGGGCGTCACGTGCTGCACATCAACTGTCACCGACACTCTGACAGCCGCGTTTAAACTCATACATTTGTCCATAAACGGCCCATTCTTACCTGAACAGCCCGTGAAAAGAATATTCCAGCATCTGCAGCGAGTTTCCTCACGTTGAAATCCATGTTGTGAGCGGGGAAAGAGGCGGAATCCCCGCGGCATCAGGCGCTCCGCAGAGGCCAGTGTGTGTTTGGTCGTACTTGAACGATTCGAATCTTTAATGTGACTCGGGAAGAACGAGTCGTCTCGGGGAGTGATTCGTCCAGTCGCGCATGCGCAACATCCTATAGGTTCTGTAGTGGAATTAGTCAAGTAGTTCACCTGGTTCGAGTCTTCGGGTTTGAGTCGTTCGTTCATCACGTGACAGCCCCATAAGCCCAAACCAGAAGACTTGTCAGATAAGAGCTGAGGTGAGCTAATCATAGACTGAAGACCCAGGTAAACAATTAATTAATCTTTTCTGTTTCTTATAGCAGTTTTGTATTGTTTGTAGTGTGATCAACGTTTGTGTAAGTAGTAGACGTGTTAGGGAAGAAACACGTAACATTTTAATTATATTTTGCTCAAATGAACGAAATGACTCGAAAAAAGATTCGTTCATTTTGCTGAACGAGACTCAAAGGTCCGAGTCGGTAAAATGATCCGAATTTACCATCACTATATCTGTCTCTCCGACGCGGGGTTGCCAGGTTTTCACAACAAAACCCGCACAATCGCTACTCAAAACTAGCCCTATCGCGTTCCGGGGGGTAAATAAACGTAAAATACACGTTTTTGGCAGGGTTCCTCCGGTAAACTTCGCATTCCAGGTGCTAACTATCACGTTATTGTGCTCGCTTCAACTAGTGACGACAGTGTTAAAGTATCCAATTCCGCGGGAAAACCGCGAACTTGGCAACGGTTTCTATGCAACTCGAGCGGTTTTTCCTGTAGGGGGCGCTGCGCGGCTCACGAATACAATCCTCCATTGAGTCGCATTCAAATCTCAGAAAGCATTTTATCTTACTGGAAACATTTGTGCGGGGAAGAGTATACTCGTTTGAATCTGTTAACTCCAAAAGATCAATAGCTAACATAGAAATAGAAATCTCCCGTAGCAAACTCTATAAAATGACTCTTAAAATCCTTAACCACAACCGACTGTGATTGGTCCATCCTAGCAGCGCTGAGAAAAGTAACAGTTACCACGTGAGGCTACGCCGTATCATGTTTGTCCCCGCAATAATTAATAATATTAATAATAAAAAATAATAATATTAATAATTTACACCTGGATAATGACACTGAGAAACTTGAATAGAAATTTAATTTATTAAATAAATTGCACATAGTATGTGCTTTCTACTAAAAATCGCAATATTCACATTTTTTTATAAATCCTCCAAAAATAATTGTAAAAACATATGAATCATGGTCTATAAAATCATTTTACTAACTGTAAGCTCAGTTTGTAACATACAGTATATAATATTTAGATTTTATACTATTATTTATTTTTTAAAGAATACTTTACTAACCGTAAATACAGTTTGTAATATATCGTTTTTATATTTTATACTATTATATATATTTTAATAAATTTATATATATAATGTAATCATTTTACTAACTGTAAATACAGTTTGTAATATATAATATATATGTTATCCAATTTTATACATCATGTAATCACTTTATAACTGTAAATAGAGTTTGTAATAATGAGCTGTTCTGTTGCTGTGCTGGAATCTGACACATTCATGTGCATTATTATCACTAGTGTGTTAACTGACTAGTGCTGCAGTGCTAGTTAGTGGTCAGACTCAGTAGTGGTGAATGTACGTGATGGTTCTCTCCGTTCTGACTGTGGTTTATTTCTCTTTAGGCCTCACAGCAGCGGTTCCTCCGTCCGAGCTGAAACACAGCGGCTGTATTAAAGTGAATGGGTGTAAATGTCTGATGAGGGACGGGTCCGGTCTCATTGATCTGGCCTCAGTGGCGGATGAGGACGGGTTCATACAGCGACTCAAACCCCTGCCATCAGCGGTGGGAACCGCGGACGTGCTGCTGTCCTTCAGCCCGTGTCTGCCCTTCTCTCAGCCCGAGGACTTCAGCAACACCGACTGCACCGATGTGGCTGCCTGTGTCATTATACGGTCAGTTCATCACATTTAAAATGATTTTTCTTAGTAGTAAACAGTTATGATCAATGTACAAGCTCACAGAATATCCCATCTGTCGTTGGGATGAGACATAATGTTATATATGTTTGTAAAGTGAACCTCATGGAAGATGTTTCTGTAGGATTCATCAGGACAACAGGTTCATCAGTCAGTACTTGAACTATGGCAGACATGAAGGCAATAAATTCAGCTATAACGAATCAAAGAAAACTCTCACGGTGTCTTACTCCAGTAAGTAACTGTATCAAGCATGTCTTTAATTATTCACTTAAATTAAAGGCTTTTAGCAGATTCTCTTATTCAGTGTCTCATCAACAGTACAATGATATTCTAAACAGATTTTGTAAATTGAAAAATTTCATTTTTTAAATTAAATTTACATTTATTAGTTACATTTATTAGTTTAACATGAATTAAATTAACAATAAGAAATATTAGTTTAACATGAATTAACAATCATAAATATATATTTATTTGTCAATTTGCAAACAGTGATTTATTTACATTTTTATTTAATATTAAGTAAATACATTTTTTATCAATTTAAACTGAATAAAACTGTGTCTACTGTGAAATTCTGTGTCTACGTGTAGTTTTGACCTCATCTATATGCCACTAAAAGTTAAAAAAAGTATGCATTTAAAATTTACAGCATTTGAATTGAATTGAATTTTTATATTTTCTGATTTCACTTTCATTTTAGTTAAAGTTTTAGTAATTTTTATTCGGTTTTTTTTTTAGTACTTTTTAGTAAAATGTACGGAAGTTCTAAGCGGCCATGCAATATATTTTTTTTCCTTCTTGTTTTCTCGTTATAACGACTTAATTTTCTCGTTATCTCGACATAACGGGAGTTGTTTTCTCGTTATAACGAATGTCGAGATCACAAGAAAATTAAGTCGTTATAACGAGAAAACGAGAAGAAAAAAAAATAATATTGCATTGCCGCTTAGAAATTCCGTAAAAATGAGAATGAGAAAGCTAAAATAACATGTTTACATTTTTTATTTAATTTCAGTTAATGTTTATTTTATTTCAAGTAACAAAAAAATGGTTTTAGTTAACTATAAAAATCTGGCTAACAATAGCAAGCAGCAAATCTTGCACAGTAAAGAAATTTCACAGGATCATTAAACTAATTCATCAAACAATTTCATGTGTGTAAATCTAAAGCTATCTGAAAGCAACAGAGAACATCTGCCATATATTTTGACCTCATGACCTCTGTGACCTCTGTCTCTCTATCAGTGTTTCCAGACAGCGAGCCTCAAACTGTGGTTCATTACCAGTGCAGCCCGAATCACTCCATCACTCACAGCCAGAGCTTCAGCGCAGACGGGCCCCTGCAGATGTGGGTGGAGAGTCCCTGTGCGTGTCCGAACGCCTGTGCGCTGGTGGACGTGGGTCCCGGGACCATCTTCCTCATCATCCTCTGCCTCAGTGTGACCGCTTACTTCATTATAGGTCATTCTGCATCTCTCAGATGAGCTTGTAGCGCAGTTGGAGTCCAGTAGAGGGCATTACAACCACATCAACAGCCCCAAATTGATTATAACTACGGTTTATCCCAAAATTTCAGCTGTGTAGTCAGCATGTAAAAGCATTATTTATATCTTGGCCAGGAGCGTTTCTAGCCTTTCCCAAGTAGGGCGAAGGGCCCCCCATCCAAAATGTTCCCATATTTTGATTAACTTTTATGATACAGTTTTGGGTAGGCTATGTGGATATCTTTACCTGTACAAAATGTGTTGCTTGTTCACAAGCTGCACGCGTCGAGCAATAAACAGTAGCTTCATCGCGGATACACAAATGATTTTGATTCATACAATGGATTGTAAATACTTTTAAAATAAATAAATACAAGGTAACTTTTTTTCTCGCACTTTTCTGAGTTTATACCTCTCAATTCAGACTTTTTTCTCCCAATTCTGAGATTTTTCTGACATATCATGAAAATCTGATTTTTTCCGTGTTCAAGTGCTATAATCGGGTCCCCAGTGCATCTACCAACCCAGAAAAGGTGAAAAGGGACAACCTAGTAACTTTGTTTTGGTAAGCCTTTCTCTGCAAGCATGTGGAAAAAAAAATGAGCCGCTCAGATTTCGCTCCCCTAGTGACGTAAGAAGGGGATCTTATTATATTATCACCGCCCCTTAATCTGCACGTTTCCTCCCACGGCGCTGCGATTACTTAATATACAGATCTAATATAAACATGCGATTTCTTTCCCAGCTGTTTACCTTCACAGACATACAGATGTGTGTTTTTAACATATATCTGTGTGTATTTTACAGTTTAAGCTCAATAAGACATGAAAGAGAACTAAGTTTATTACTCACATGCTGTGTGACAGCCGCTTCCTGTGCGTGTGCTTCAGATGTGTGCGCTCAGAAAACCCTATATCATAAGTTCAAACTGATATGGCTTTAAAACGCATGATTTCAGCGCGATATACATGATAATCAAAGCCAACCAGATGTTTTCTCGCAGAGTGCTGAGGTACCAGCTGTAAAGGCACACGCACAGCCCTATTGTGGAAAAGGGGGCGGGGAGCAGAAGCTCATTTGCATTTAAAGATACATGCACGAAAACAGCGTGTTTCAACTTCCACTCAAAATAGGCATTTTCAAAATGATATAATAAATTATCTGAGGAGTATTTTGAGCTGAAACTTCACAGACACATTCTGGGGACACCAGAGACTTATATTACATATTGTAAAAAATGTGTGCGCTCAGAAAACCCTATATCATAAGTTCAAACTGATATGGCTTTAAAACGCATGATTTCAGCGCGATATACATGATAATCAAAGCCAACCAGATGTTTTCTCGCAGAGTGCTGAGGTACCAGCTGTAAAGGCACACGCACAGCCCTATTGTGGAAAAGGGGGCGGGGAGCAGAAGCTCATTTGCATTTAAAGATACATGCACGAAAACAGCGTGTTTCAACTTCCACTCAAAATAGGCATTTTCAAAATGATATAATAAATTATCTGAGGGGTATTTTGAGCTGAAGCTTCACAGACACATTTATGGGGACACCTGAGACTTATATTACGTCTTGAAAAAGGGCCATAATAGGTGCCCTTTAAAAAAAATCTGTATAATAAAGCGCAATTACCTTTTATATTTTTTATTCCATGGCAAAAAAAAACAAAAAAATGAATTTCGAGATGTAAAGAATTCCTAGGAAAAATGTCAAAATTTCGAGATAAACTCGCAAACGCATCACGCAATAAACAGAGTCTTGATCGCTGACACAAGAACCATATAGAGCACATTTGCGCATGGATTGTAGGTAAATACTGTCAAAAAGTTTTTAAAAAGTAATAATAAAAGGTAACTGCAAATTTTCTTCTCGCAATTCTGAGTTTACCAGTTACCTTTTTTATTTTTATTTCATGGCGAAAAAAAAATACTTCTGAGATTTAAACTCAGAATTTCGAAAAAAAACCTCAAAATCCGACATGCAAACTCGCAAATATATATGCGCGGGACTGTTTTCTTAATCCCGCTCGTGAGTGATGAATGTCCGAATGAATCGCAAACTATTTCAGATCTTATTGCAAACCCATTTGACTGAATAGAGCAACAATAATTAATTCGCGATTAGCTAGTCTGATTCTGGTTTATCAGTAATATTTTACGGTATTTCACAGCGACGTATGGAAATGATCAGATGTCCTCATCTCCTCTCTTGTGTCTGTAGGATCATGTGCGCTTCGGCCGTTCAGGACTAGTAATGGTGTTCAGATGGCTCCAGAAGACAGTGTTTGGTGTATGATCTGCTATCAGCTCAGCGAGCGGCCCGACGGCAGCAGGCGGAAGCGGAACTACTCGCTGACAGACACGCTGTGAACTCACTGGAGACATTATGGGACGTTACATCAATCTCTATTTCATAAACTCCAAATGGATATGTTACAAGGCCCACCCTTAAATAAACACTCCCCAGCACAACATTTTCGTTTAAATAGAAATCCCCAAGATTTATTGATGGCTTTACAGAGTATTTCACACACAGGATGATTTACTCACAAATTTCCCAAGCAAAATTGATTGAATAAAGCAAACTTTTACATGGTGTTTGGACATAAATGTGCTGGCAGTGTGTGAACACAACCACCCTATAATGCTAAAAAATCCACCTATTCCTTTTTTTTTTAATCCCCATAAACCAAATCAGTCTCATTAGACGTGCCGTTTTGGTTCTCTGAGCATTGTGATGTCACATTGTTTAGGCCCCGCCCACGGTCGCTGACTGACACCGCCATATTAGCAGAGACCCCGCCCTGAGTGAGCTGCACACAATCCGGCATGTTTATCCTCATGCTAGGGCATTTAAAACCAGCATTCAAGTTCTTATTAAAGCTATAGAAGTTATTCGGTCAAGAACAGTGAGTGGTTTTCTGTTTTTATTTATTGTTTGGCTCATATTAACAGCGTAGACAGCAGTAGGTATATGTTACGCTGCTGTCACTTAATACACAGATCTAATATAAACATGCGATTTCTTTCCCAGCTGTTTACCTTCAAAGACCTAACCGACTGTGTTTATGTAACTCCTGTATTTTAACCTAACCTTGTGTGTATTTAAGAGTTTAAGCGCAAGAAGACATGAAAGAGAACTTAGTTTGTACTCACATGCCGCTTTCTGTGTGCTCAGAAAACCCTATATCAGAAGTTTAAACTGAAATGGCTTTAAAACGTATGATTTCAGCGCGATAGACATGATAATCAAATCCAAACATGTTTTTTGGCAGAGTATTTGAGGTACGAGCTGTAAAGGCTCTGCCCTATTCTGGAAAAGGGGGCGGGGAGCAGCAGCTCATTTGCATTTAAAGATACAGGCACTCAAAATTGGCATTTTCAAAATGATATAATAAATTATCTGTGGGGTATTTTGAGCTAAATCTTCACATACACATCCTGGGGAAACCTGAGACTTATATCATATATATAACACTTATATACATGTAAAAAAGGACAAAATAGGTGCCCTTTAAATTATAATATTTCACAATTTATACAGTATTTTTGATTAAATAAATGCACCCTTGGTGAGCAAAAGAGACTTAATACTTGTGTAACTGAACTAATTATGTTTAAATGAACTCATGTTTGTTAATTGGGTTTAACAATTAGTAAAATAGTTTTAACAGGGGCTGATTGAATACTACAAGATATAAACGAAATGGATAATTTAATTTTAATCAGTCCATCAGTACAACAAACCTTCATAATGACAACAAAGCAGAATGGGTAAAACAGTTTCTTAAACTTTATTAAAAGCACATTTGAGATTCACAAAAATAGTGCGCTACATACAAATACAAGTGAATTTCATTGAAATTATAGGTCTATCTCATTAATATAGCATTAAAATGTTAGCTTATTTGCAAAAGATATGAAGGGCTTGTGCATTTTGTACTCTTTAACTCACTCCAGAGGACATGTAAAGATCTCAGTGTTTGGTGCTGAACAGATGAACGTCATTCTGCTTGTATGATCCTAAGTATAGTGTTTAGTGCTAATGTTGTGCATCGTGATTTAGCAAGTGCTAAAATTAATATGACAATCTGGAGTACGTTCACATTAGAATAAATGAGAGAACTCCTATTTAAAAGCTTAAAAACAATGGAAATATATGAATAAAGCAGTCAAAAGACTCATACAAGCACTCAGCTCATATGAGCAGCACCGTACGCAGCTGAAAGAGTCTATCACAGCACTTGAAGCATGTCTTACTGTAAAACTCCAGCACAATTTGTCTCGAGGGATTGTTTTATGAAGGAAAATAACCAGCCAGCTGGTTCTGGGAAATCTGAGGATGTGTGGAGTTCCTCTGTATTGGAAAAATCAGCCACAGTTTAATGATTTCAAGAGGCGGATCTGCAAATCCTGACCCATCCTGAGGGCCGTAAAACTCACTTTCACAATGATAAAGACCAACTTTACTGTCCTGTCAGCGATATGTGGACCAGTAGTGGTTGGAATCATTTATGATATTGTGAATAATCAAACAGCCATCAGTTCTGCATTTAGAGTCACACTAAACCTCAACAGCTCGTGACAAACCAATAAACATGTTCTTACAGAAGCTGTATTTAGAAATATGATGTATTTTGTATTTATTGTATGCAGTTTGGCCCCCAAAAGTATTTGGGTGAATCTCATGAAATCTCGCGAGAAATGTCCAGGTCATATTTCATCCCAAAATCAGAAGAGTTTACTGAGAAAAGAAAGACTATTATTAGTCTTATTAAGATTTGTGGGTTTTTTTACATTTAAGTACATTACCCCAAAATTCTTGCAATGCAAAAAATATAATAAAAAATGAAACAAAATATAACAATAATAATAATGTGTAAAATAAAAAAGACAATTATTAATATAATAAAGCAATTATTTAATAGTGCCATATTGATTGATATTATTAAGCTAATTAAAATATTGCATTGCAACAGAAAACAATGAAAATGAAAAAAAGGGTAATGAAAATAATCATTGTGAATAAGGAATAATGGGAATTATTTGTGATGGGAATAACAAAAATTGCTTATTAATGTTACAATACAAAAAAATGGCAAAAACGGTGAGCGAGTGATGGAATGCTACATTTCTCCAAATCTGATGAAGAAACAAACTCATCCTAATCTTGGATGGCCTGAGGCACAGGTTCATTTTAATTTTTGGGTGGACTATTCCTTTAATGATCCAAAAATAGGTTTCATTTTCTCTTTATAAATAAAGAATTTCTTGTCATTTTGAATTTGAGCTACAATATGACCTGGACGGTTTTGGTGAGATTCTCCTGTAAAGTGCATTAAACTGGTTTTATAACACTAGAATCTGTAGGCAGGGAGTTTTGTGTTGCACAGCAACAGGTTTAATGGTGAGAGGAAAGCGTGCTGTGGGTCAGCGAATATCTCTGGTCCTTTCACAGCACTCAGACCGGCTGGTGCTCCAGGAAAAGCCCACGTCAAGAGCCCAATCATGACAAAACTTAGTGTTCGCCGCAAATGAAAAACATGGCATCAGACTCAGACAAAAGCAAAACACAAGTACACTTACAGACGTGACAGGAAGAAACAGACGAGACAAAACACACACATACAGTATGCAGCTGGAAGCAGACAACATGAATGTGTAGCTGCACTCAGTGGAATGCATGGAAGCCTGTTTCCAACACAGAATAAAACAAATAAAAAAGGTAATTGCGACTTTTTATCTCACAATTTGGAAAAAAGAGCAAGAAATTGCAAACAATGTTCCAAAATTGCGATGCAAACTCAGAATTCTGAGGGGAAAAATTAATTGCAAGATATAAACTCAGAATTCTGACACTTTTTCTCAAAATTCTGAGTTTACATTTCACAATTCTAAATTTATGTCTCGCAATTCTGTTTTTTGTTTCCACCATGGAAAAAAATTAATAAAAAAGGTAACTGCAACTTTTTATCTCACAATTCTGAATTTATATCTTGCAGTTTTGAACTTACATGTTGCAATTCTTACTTTTTTCTCTGAATTGTGAGATAAAAAGTTGCAATTACCTTTTTAATGATTTTATCAGAAAACAGGCTTCCATAGATATGAGATCAAAATGTTCTTGTGTTGTGCAGCATCACGATACTCAGCTAAATCTGGTGGTTTGCTTCAGGCACCTGCCGTGGTTTGGCACTTAAACGCTTGTCTGGAGTAATTTAGATTGATGAAATATCTAATGCAAGAGGTGACTGGAATAGATTTGTGTGATTCTTCCAGTATTTTGATGAAGTGATAAAACAGGAGCAGCAGGGGTGTAAATCTAATGGCTTTCGATGACGACTGGCTCATACACACCGGCAGAGACCCTGTGAACACAACACAAGAGTATGATCAGTGAGTTTGCATGTTTTGTGTTCTTCAGCTCTTGATGCTGTATTTTTGTGGCGTGTTTGTGTGGAATCACCTGTTTCCCAGCTGGATGCCGCTCAGCGCTGTCGTTCCGTCTCTGCTCACAAACAGTCTCAGGTTACTATCTGAACACAGACAGAACAGAACAGAACAGAACAGAACAGAAGGTGAATGGACTGCAGTGAGCACATGACGACTGTTCACACCTGGTTTAACATGTGGCTCAAATGCATCTCGCTTGTAAGCAGATTTTGTCAAGTGGAGGATCAATATTTCATTACTACATACATCGCGGTGTCACCACACGTTTATATCGGGTATGATAAAGATGTTCAGTGAAGTCTTGTGCATGTAAATTAAAATTAAAATTGTGTGTGTGTTTGTGTGTGTTTTATTGCATGTTTACATTGAGTTCCATTTTTAATGCAAATACATAAAAATAAGAAAATATATACACACACAAATCTACAAATAAATAATTTATGTATTTATGTATATTTATGTATTTATTTAAATTTATGTATTTTTCTAGTTTTATATATTTATATATATTTTTATTCTTTGCATTATATATGCAATATATACAATATATTATAAATAAATAAAAAAATATATTTTTTGCAGATTTGTAATATTTGTAATAGAGGCTTTTGCATCTGAACTCTTCAAATATTATCATTTAAATACCTGCATCAAAACTGGAAATACAAAAATAGAACTCAATGTAAATCTGCTTAATTTTTCTTAAAGCCGTTTTCTTTGGCTTGCTGCCAAAGTTTAAACTCTTGTTTTGGTGCAATAATTCTTAGTTTTGTAAGCAGACGCGAGTATTTCCACTACAAATGAACAATGCATCAGTGTTCGGACGCAGTTTACGGATCAGCTGAAATGGAGTTTGGTTGTCCTGCGATCTGAAATGCTCACCTTCATTGTTACTGATGTCAGAAAAGTTCTGACTCTGGACGATCTTTTCCACGATGTCGTCTGCGTCGATACGCGTGTCGTTGACCCAGGTCGGGTGATCCTCCACCGAATCCTGCTTCCTCCTGAAATTAACAGAAGGAAATGCCAGTTACATTTACTGTCGGACATTTCTGTTTCTCCCGGCTGACGTGGACGTACCGCGGTGGTCTGTTGGAGGGTAAGAGGGACCGCGGGGGTCGCGGAGGCCGGTCGGGACGGGTGTCACTCTCAGACGGGGGGTCGGCGCTCACGCTGCTGCCTGTAGACGTGTTCCTGCGATGGGTCAAATCAGACAGACTGGAGGAGCAGGAGTGTTCGGTGCTGTAGCCTGTAAACACAAACACACAGATCAGTGCGTTAAACACAAGCACGATCAATAAACATCATGCAACACTTCAAGCTCCACATGAGAAGCGCTGCAGCTTCTCAGAAGAGCGATTTTGTGACGTTTCTAGGTTGCAGAAAGTGTGGTACACCGTGAAAACCTGTATTTGAGCTTTGAACAGAGAAACGGTCTGGCGATGGCGTTTTTCATTGACATTGATTCAAAGTAGTTGCTGAATGTAGAGGTCAACCGATGTATCGGTTTTGCCGATTAATCGGCAACAATAGTTGATTGCTGGAACTATCAGCTATATCTGCAAAAATCCATGGCGATAGTTTTTCCTGGTTTCGTCTGTTGCTGGAGCGGCTGAAGGTCCGGTGTTATTAGACAGTGCAAGAGTGACCTCTAGAGGCAAAATCACTGATGCCACGTGCTGTTTGTTGACGCGGGACACTTCAGATGCGAATTTAAAACAGACAACGAACGGTGTGTATACAGTACACTGTAGTGCATGTTTTCATATCATTACTACATAATTAATTTGTTGACTAGATGTTGAATTAGTACAGAAAGATAAAAAAAAATTGAAAGCACTATTTTAGTTTTCATTCAGTATCCAATTTAAAAACTATCGGTATCGGCCAGTGTGGTCCAACCTAGCTATCGGTATCGGTAAAATCCACAGGTGAAATCGGTCGACCTCTAGATGAATGCAAGTTTGTTTAATGAAAAGTCATTTCAGACTGAATCAATCATTTTGACCTTCTCCTCTTAAAAATTTTCACCTTTTGTTTTAATTAAAGTGATAAATCTTGACAATTTACAGAGTTACAGAGGAACAAGTACAAAACAAACATCAGACGACAGCAAGTAAATAGGGCTGGACGATATGGCCAAAACTGATATCACGATATATTTCTTAATTTCGGTCGATACGATATAATTCCGATA